GAATAGATTTAGCCTATATTTTCACTGTGTTTACAACAGCAAACCTCCTATCTAAACTAAATAACTGGAGATACATGTAATATTCCTGACATCAAAGTGAAGACTGAAGATGAAATGGCCCTATTAGATTTCAGAAAAAGGTATGAAATGTTAATGTGAAAGGTAAATGCTACTCTGTCATGGTTATTATGGCCCAACAGAATGAACACACACACACACACACACACCCCTTAGTTTATTTATTTAGATTTATGATTAGATTTGTCTCACTCTTACCCCTGCCTTGGCCAACCTCGTCCTTTCTTCCAGTACTGTCTCCTTCTCAGATTATTTCCCACACTTTTTTGAATCTGGTATCTTGTTTTCTCTACCTGCAGCAGTCTCTGTGAGCATCTCCCTCTTATTTTCTCATAGCAGTCAGCCTTGGCGGCAGCTGCAGCACTACAGCAGGTCAGTCATAGTGAGCCAGTTCCAAACATTGTCAGCAATCTTTACATCTTGTCATGGTCACATATTTGTTTAATCAGCTAGTAACTCCTATATATATATATATATATATATATATAATATCTCTAGTCACAGATCAACACCAGTAGTATCAGCAGCAGCATCCCCAGCAACCCCTCAACAGCAGCTGTTCGCTGTAAGTTATGTCAGCCCACAGCGTTTTAAAGCTAAGGAGGGCTGAAAAGCTTGATTTGTAAAGTAACTACTAAAGCTGTCAGATAAATGTAGTAAAGTAAAAAGTACAACATTTCCCTCTGACATGTAGTGGAGTAGAAGTAGAAAGTGCCATGAAAAGAAAACACAAGTAAAATACAGGTACCTTAAATTTGTACTTAAGTACAGTAATTGAGTAAATGTACTAAGTTACTGTCTACCACTACTTTTGAACATATTATGGTAAAATTGTTTCCCCACAACGTTATCAGGGAATGCAAGGTGGGTGGGATGGGTAGGATAATTTAGGTGGGCATCTCTAAACAGAGTTTGATTATTTTCTTTATTCTGTTAATATTATTATTATTATTTTGTTGTTGTTGTTGTTCCTTCAACAGAAAATAAAGGGGAACAATTGGTTTTGCTTCTGGTAAAGTGTTACTGATTTACTCCTTCAACAAAATATAAAAAAATTTATTTTCTGAGAGACTTTCTCCACTGATTTAACAAAGCATATTCCTAAAGTTGAAGGACATGAAATGACTACTGTTTATTAACCATTTCTTATCTGTGGACATACTGCTTATAAATACTGTGTAAATAAATACTGAACAAGCTCAGAGTAGCACACACTGAAACCAGGCAGGGTGGCATTTCACCTGGGGAAAAAAAGATTGTTTGTACTTTCACATCTCTGTAATTGAAAATAGATACATAAACACATTTGCTTTTTACTGTCATGATGCCTGGAATGCCCAAGTCACACTCTATTGTGCGTCTGTCCGGCGACAGTGCCCTTCAGCTAAACAGTGAACGCCTTCTGGCCTCAGGATGCTGCTCGGTAGCTATTTGAAGTGGGGAATCAATAGAGCTAACAGTGTTACAGAACACACTCACAGTAGCAGAATGCAAACTAATCCCTGAACACATATGACAGCCAGCCTGGTCTACAATCCAATGACACAAACAACCTAATGAAGAGAAACAGCAGGTTTGAACAGTTGCATTAAAGTTCATGAATGCCTTCTGCATACCTGAGTTCTGACGCATATACCATCCCACAACGGACACGTCCTCTCACTCCTACATTCATGAGAAGGAGGGCAAAGTGCTTTCAGCTTGTTAAGTGCGCTGTCAGGTGTCACCAGAGTAGGTATAGGGGCTGTAATCTGAACTGAACCTGCACAGACAGACCAGGCGACCGAGAGAGACAGCTACAGTACATGGCTGTTTCCCCTGAGAACTCACAACACTCAGTCTACACGCTGATCCCTCAGGCTATAGTCCTATACTAATATAGTGATCGAGAGTAACAGACGTCAGTCAGCTGTTAAGAAGACTCTTCTCTCCTGCACTTGTGGGTTCTTTTACTTCATCACAGTTTACAGGAAGCGGGTTGAAATTATGAGTCAAAATTCATCTACAGCAACTTTGATAACTGATGGACTGTTTAAGTCATTTATCAAGCAAAAACACACAAACAGCGACTAAATGTGAGAATTTTATGCTTAAAATCTTTTAATCCTATATATTTAGGTTTTGTACTGTCAGCCGGATGACACAAGCAACTCCAGACATCGGTTTAAGGAAATTCTGATCAACAGGTTCATTATTTTTTTTGCCATTTTACAGACTAAACATTTAATTGAAAATAGTTGTCAGTTGCACCACAAGAAGCGACACTCATCTGTGTGGAAATAAGCAATCATTTTCTTCAAATCATAATTATATGGATGACAGCTGGAGGCAAGTTGAAGTTTAATTTAGAATTAAACAAATTGTAAATCTGAACACCTTAGGTGCAAATCCTTACAGAACTCCCACAAGCTTGTGCTTCCTAAATCACATGCCATTATAGCAGTGATAGAATAATGTGTGGAAACTATTTGGGGAAATCTTTTATCACCATCATGATTGCACGTTTTCTCATTGTTTTTTACAAATCACACTGTATAATGAGCTGTAATGTTTCTGTATGCAGCTAGTTAGAGGCTCTGTCGGTTCACAGAGCTGTCTGTACAGATGAAAGCAGCTGAACACGTACAGAGTCACAGTTGAGATCACATTAAAACAAGCCGCTAATTATGGAAGGTCTACAAGCCATTACTGCAATGCACAGTGAGACCTTGCAGGACCCTGTTCGCCATGCACAGGGCTATAAACCAACACACACCTCCCCAAGTGATTAAACCCAGGTTTTTGACACTGTCCCTGCTGTCATCGGTGAGGCCGGGGAGTGGAGAATTGTGCAGTTAATGTGGGCACTAAGTGGACTCTGCTGGCAGGAGCAGCCGGCTCATCTGGTCAGATCTATTTGGTCCTCTCTGGCAGCTACAGAGCCGGACTGTCCTCATGATGATCTGCCTCTATTAAGAGGAAGCAAAAGACTCCTGAGTTAGCGTCTAGCGAAGGCACCTAATTAACATGCTCTGTGAAAAGCAATCAAGGGCCTGGTGCACAGTAATCACACATTTAGCCTACTTTAGCTTGTGCATGTCTCACTAAGAATCATCAGGGGCCTCTGGGCAGAGTGGGCACGGCTGTGGCTGTCAGTGAAGCACAGACATGACAGCTCAGGGGACACCAAGGAATATGAGCTCCTCTATGTGTGTGTGGCCATCTGGGTGTTTGTGTGTGCTCCTTCCCCGAGTGGAAGCAATACATCCAGCCATCCAGCCACCCTATCGGTCCTTCCATCACTGCTTCCGCAAGGCCTCTCGCATCTACACAAGCAAGCCTCTTGCCTCGCCAAGGGGGAGGGCGCTTGGGTGGGCTGAGTGTGGGACCAGCCAACCGATAAGACCGGAGCCTGTCGCCAGTCCTAATCCCCAATCACTCACAGGACAAAGGCTCCTGTCCACGGCGCACATCCCCGACTGCGGCCACATTGAGGACATCAAACAGTAAACTTCCACCTGCCCGCTGAGATACCAGGGCTTAAACAGGGAGCTATTGTACAGGTAGACAGCAGAAGCTCCAGCCAGCACCACTCACATCCTCCACACTGAGACGAAACACACATCAGCACCCTATCACACTAGGACAGCGTGCACATACATCAGCATGCAGCTGATTAATAAAAAGGTCAGTTCGGCAGAATGATTTATGTTCAAGTGATTGCAACACCAGGGAGCAGAGCAAAATATCTTTGTGTATATGTGGGACATTCAAAACAACACAAGTCACAGGAAAACAACACTGCACCAGTTTGGTTTGGGACGTTCAGTGCATGCCAGGGGATATTTTGTAATGTTTTGCCTCTACTTCCCCTAAATTTCCCAAATTTCTTTCGACTGCCATCAGAACAGGTATGAGCTTAATGCATCCAGATGTGTTATGAATGCAGGCAGACAGCAACCAGAGGGAACAGAGTTTTTTTCCCCAGTTGAGGCACACCCCTTCATCATAATCCAAAATGCACTGTGGCTGTATTGCATTCTGGTCTATTAAGATAAGCTTATGTCAACTTACATTGACAGATGAAATCCTGCAGTTACACTAGGCGCCACCAAAATAAAGTTTGCAACAATACCTTTAGCTGTTTGTTTTCTGTGTGTCAACTTTTAAATGTCCAAGGTTTTTGAAAACCCCAATATTTCTACACACTTATATATTGAAATATAAAGTACTTCAGGTCCAGTGATAAACCTTAAGTGGTACAAAAGTAAGCAGAAAACTGCCTAAGCTAAAAACGTGACCAAACCAAAATGGTGACATTTTCAGATATAAAATTAATAATAAAATTAAAGACTTGTGGTCATTATTTCACTGTAGGATAAACTTATGACCAACTTTTAGTTGCAATGTTGTACAAATTAAGCTTCTGAGGGTGTATTCACAGGGGCTGTTCCAACCTGTTTACAAATTGGGGCACCCGTAGAAATGTTTTCAACTTTAAAGGCTTCATTTACTTCCAATGTTCAAACTGCTGACCTGTAGTGTATATATTTCATTCTGTGAGAGGCACCACTAGGACAGGTTGTATGAAGATATTATGATGATAAGTGTCAGGCCTCTCCTGCCACAATAACACACTGTCAACAACAAAAAAAAGTTTAAAGAGGAGTCAAAACTTTGTGAATGAAGCTTGTCTTTGCTTGTGAACCGAACTCTACTTCATTTTTTCACAAAATAAATAATTAGCTCAATGTGACGCCTGTCTCATGTCACGTTAAGCTAGTAGCTAGCTCCAATGTTATGAACATTATAACCACAAAACAGTCACGTGACCCACACCTCAGCCAAGTTCTGTGAGCTCGCTCTTACATAATGTGAAGCATGAGTGCATTGAAACATTTTCTGCGGACACAATTAGGTGACTAGATGTGAAAGAAAAGTACCGAAGAAAGTAAGTATCTCACTGTTGTAGACGGGTTTACCTGCTCGAACACCCTGCGGTACCTCCGCGTGGCTTGCTCGACTAAATCCCGGACGGTCCATCCAGCCTTACAGGGAACCACCACTGCGGTGTCCCCGAAAGTTACTGTAACTTTCATAGTAGCTGGAAGTTCAAAATGTTTTTTAGTTAAGAAACGTATCCAACTTTCGGTAGTCTCTCGACCCGGAGCTGCTCCCTGTTTGAGACGAAGAAAGTGTCACCTGTCCGTCGAAACTGGAGCAACAGGTGTCTCAGGTCAGGATGAAATCACGGTGATGTCATTAGTCAGCCTTCACCGAGCTAAAGCGGTAAAAAATAATAACCTCAGAAAACATCGTATTTTCTGTCCAGCGGTCATATAAGTTGGAAATAAACGGTAGCTACAGCCGCAGAGTGTGAGTTTCTGTCATGTTGAGCTGCCCGCTGATACACCCACACAAACTGAGAGAACCCGGAAGGAATCACAGCGACTCTGGCACTTCAGGAAATTCATTCCCAGGCACTCCACCTCTCTACTAAAACTTTATTATAGTGTATGCCACTTAATCGATCATTTTGCCATTAGTATTTAAAGCAGGTTGCAAAGTTTTTTTTTTATGTTTGACGTAGTTTTAATACAAAGAAATGTTTGACATTTTCCATTAAATTAGGCTAAAAGACATAGCAATCCCTTTTTCTGTAACGTTACCTGCTTTTTGCCTTTTGTGGTTTTGGTGGGTGTATTTTTTATATTTTATGCACACACACACACACACACACACACACACATATATATATATATATATATATATATATATAGCATATAAACAATAACAGCATAAATAAAAAGAATACAAAAGTTTAAAAGTGACAAAGAATGAGATATTAGACAAGTGTTGTGGAGGAATCAATGCAACTCAGAACGCTTTTTAATTCACTGACTTGGAAAATACTAAACAAATATGTTGTAATAATTCTGCAAAAATGTTATATGTCTAACATAACCATTAAATCACAATTAAGCGTATAGACAGTGTATAGGCTATATGTACAAAACTACTGTATATTCTATAGGAATTGATCAAAAATATACTTTAAGTGGGAATTTTATATTAGAATTATATCAAGTACAAGTACATTTACTCAATTTCTGTACTTAAGTACAGTTTTGTGGTATCTAAGCTTCACTTTAGTATTTTATACTTCTTTACTGCTACTTCAGTACATTTTAGAGATTGTGAATTTTACTCCACCACATTTATTTCCCAGGTATTGTTACAAGCTACTTTACAGACATAACCTAATCAGCGGATAAAATATGATACATTGATTTAAAGATGAAGCTACTCTGGTTCTATAGTTTAACATTGACAGTGGTCATTTTGTAATCGACATACTCCTGTAAAGTCATATTATTTTATAGGACAGCCAGAAGGACTATTAGGTAAACTGTCCACATGTATTTGCAGAGAAATACATTAGCCTAACTCCTTCCCTAATCCCCCTGCACACACACAGACAGACACACCACCACACCTCTACTCACACACATCACACATACTAATTACCTAACCGTTATTGTCTGTCATTTTATGTCATTAGGTGTGTTGTGAAATTGCCTTTATGGATATTAATGGCCGCTGACACGCTCCCGTGCCTTATTCCCGCGCATTGTTTGGTAATGCTCTCGGGAATTTCCTCCCCATCAAATCAGAAAGCCACCGCGGCAGATGGATTCATAATTGGGACAAGCAATTATTTCCACTGCCACTGTAATTCATCCGAAATGTACGGAACGTTACAATGATGGGCTGACAGCCCTTATGCCTCTTGTTTCATCTCACTCCTCTCATCCCCGATAAACAAGGTGAGTATGGAGGGGGTATGAAGACAGAGAGCAAATAGAGAGATGGAAAGAGATGATCCCTCATTAGCAAATCCTACAGTGACTGCATCCTTTGTCCATAATCCCTGGGCTCTGATTTTTAGGAGAGAACATAATTTCATACCTGGTTTAACACTGTGAGGCACTGAGAGTATATGATGCAGGTCATGTTCCCCTAGTGTGATTATGGTAGCTGCTGACTCATCAGTCGCTGCAACTTTATTGCTGCCAGCACTTGGCTGCACTCAGTCAGCAGTGAAACACGTGTGTTTCCACACAACATTGCTAAAACCCTGTGAGCTGGGGAAATTAGACACAATGCTGTGTGGTTTGTTTTTTTTCTTCATCCAAGGATAACGCCCTGCTTCACGCTGACACAGTCCCTTGCCTGCATTCAAACTGCCGGTTAATGAAAGGTTCTGCTCAGTTGTTGTCATTGGAGAAGAAAAAGACTGGCACTTTTCACGCTCACCTATTGGTTCAAAAAAAGGCATATTCCAGGCCACTTCCTCAGAGTTCCACTTGCCAACTTTGCACTTCAGCAGCTGTAACTGGCAGTGAGAGATTGCTGGTTGAAATTTTGAAAGTTTGGAGGACATCATTACCCAGAAATCATGTCAAGTGGCTCCAGTTCCCTGAGCTAAATGTAGTCTTTGTAACAGCAGGTGTAGAGACTGACAAAACATTTTGGATGATGTTGGGGAGTCTTGATTGTGAAAGTGCTTCTACAGTGCTTTGTAGGACACACAAGAATGCACTGCACTTTTATTGCAATCAGGGTTATTTTGATGCACCCATGCATTTTTTATTAAATTGATTTTGGGCCACATTTTTTTATCGTTTTGTGAGGTTTTTTGTTCCCTCGGTCCAGAAAAAGCAAAGTTTCATCTCAGCTGTACTCTTTCATGGTTCAAACGACAATGAAACTTTGCTGTTTGTTCAATCGGTGGCTCCTGCCTATGTGCACAGGTCCCATTTATGTGAGAGAAAACAACACAGTGCATTTTAGACGACATGACGGAGGCCTCAATATGTCATCACATAGTAACAATGAAAAAAGAACAGAATGATTCGATGTCAATGTCAGAAATGCCAAGTGTTGTAACACAGCACACAAGAAGTGAGATTTATGTTTGTATCTATTCCCATGTGAGGAAGAAAGGAGTTGCTGTCTGACCTGAGAGAAGAGAATTTTGACAACAACGCCTCGCTGCACTTTTTGCACAAAATGAACTGCTGTTGATTGTTGACTCTATGATGTCACTTCCTCTATTAATAGAGCAGTATGCTCTTTACCAAGCCTACGCCTGTAGTGGTGTTGAGCGATAGCTGATGCTGAAGCAGGACCATGAGTGTGTTGCTGTTGTACATTAGAATTGAAAAAGGTTCAGGTTCACAGTCATCTTTGAGCTAAAAACGCTGCTGAAAAGTGCATACTGTACGTGTGTGAACGGTCTATCAAGCCTTTCTTTTGAGTCTTTTCAGTCTTATCCTCGTCTGGAAGTAAGGCATGCCAGCCAAAGTGTTGGCCGTCAATAAAAGCCCAGTGATGGTTTTTGTTGTTTTGTTCGTCTCTCTGAGTGCAATTTACAGGGTTGGGCTGTCTGGGTCGATAGCCGTGTTGATTTGCTTTCAGTCTTCAAGCGGTGCCCCTTTTCTAAAGAGCAAAATTGACATGTTCTCAGCGGCAGTGCCACCACCCCTGTGTTTTAGCTCAGTGTGAGACTGAGGCCGGTCAATAGCGGAGACTTGCTCCACTTCCTGCTGCGCTGCTTACAATTACAGGCCCTGAATCAGTAGCAAGGATTACTCATAAAAACCTGCCCTCGCTCTCTGTGAGTGTGTGTGTATGTGTGTGTATGTAAGTGTGCAAGCGGGGTAGGAGAGATAGTGTTCGCAATCACAAAATATGACTTTCATTCCGCATGAGGATTTCATTTTAGACCTCAGGTATAATATTCATGCTGCAAAATTGCATTTCTTTTGTGTGCGACTGCTGAAAAGCTCGAATAGAATAGCTAAAGGCGCTCGCCTGTGAATTACAAGTGTTGCCAAAGTTGCCTGAATTGTTGTCTGGAATTATCACAGTTATTGAAAGCAAAACAGCTATCATCAGACACCATGATCTATGCACACACAGAGATGCATGTTGTACTTTGGAGCTTATTACACTTCTACAACTTATGAGGATCTTTGTGAAGCACTGCTGCCAGTCTACTTCCTTATGGATTTTATTTTAAAAGACTGCAGGTAAAGTATAAAGAAGTGAGAAGTTTGCAGAACCGTAAATGTAAGAGGAAGTTGGACTCTGATGTTCCTCAGTCCTATAAACCAACAAAGTGAATAGTATACTGTATGTCCAGCTGAGATATCTACTGTATGAGAATGTTAAAAAAAAATAGTGATGGTTTTGTGTTACAACACTGGTACAGATTGTAAAGATAAGGCAGACAGACGTACAGAGTTTGAGTAGATACAGAATAATCACTTCTAGCCTCACTCTCAGTGGAATTTGTCTGGAGCCTGCTGGAAGCGACCCCTTTAAACCCTTTCATATTGGACAAGTGACCCAGAAAATACTCAGCTTTCAGTGTTAACCCCAGCCGGCAGAACTCATGGCCAAAATCAGGCCTCAGCGCCGGGTCAACCTCACTTCAGCTGAGTGTTTAACCTGTCTGGAGTGCCCTGCTGTGCTCCATGTTAAACACAGAATACAACCATACAGGCTTTAAAAGGAAAACTCTTACACCATTTGATTTAATTAGTCTGGGATGTTCAATGCATTTCAGTTATTTTGTATCTACGTATAGCTTAATCTGCCTCATCTATGCTATTGCTTCAGGTATCCTTCCCACAATGCATTTCTGGAGTTTTTAAATATGGTTTTCAGCTGGCCTTTGTGTAACTTCCGATACAGTAGGTTCTGTCTATGTGTCCCACACAGGATTTCCACCTCCAGTGTGAGATAAAGGCGAACAAAAAACCATATCAGGGTTTTGTTGGGGTTTTTTGTGGCGTGCAGTTCAGTTCCGAGTGAAATGTTTAAGAAAACATACGTTGTAGATCATTTATGTTCTTTTGATTCTTTGGAATGCTGTTAAACCAGGAAGTCCTGTCTACCCTTGCACACATTTAAAAAGGAATGAACACTTTAACTACCTTAACATGATCTACAAGTTTAGTGACATGTCATTATCCCCCCAGCACGTCAAGAAACATCTGCGATCCAATTGCTGGTGTGCGTGTGTATGACATTTTTGGAGTGAGGACCACAAAACCCTCTGCGGTTGATTGACATGCGTTTATTTGAAGAAATACATCCTCAATTCTTTGATCAAACCACTCCAGGAAAGCTGTTGTCAAAGTGCCAGAGGACTGACTGAATGCGTCTTGTTATGCAAGCGGATGAGTGAGGTTTTCTGTTAATCATTTACTTTTGGAGCCGCTCCATTGGAAAGACACCAGGAATCAGTTATTATATCATCAGCAGGATAAAAGATCATAGCGCTAAGGAGGAAGACAATCATAGTCAGAGGTAGGACGTGGATTTGTCGATTACATCAACGCGTCTGCACATATTTTCACACT